GGCGTCTCCGCGGGCCGGGTCTGCTCCTCCCGGCCCGTCCGGCAGCTCCGAACCGCGGTTCGGTGCCAGGTCCCGGTTAGAGCAGCGGCGTGTCGTCGCTCCGGACTTTCTGGTGTTGTTTAAGAGGGCGTTTCCTCTATGGGGAAACGGGCAGGGATAGGGAGAAAGTGAAAGTTGTGCCTGCTCTTCCCGTGCTTCGCGGTAAAAGCGAGGACGCCGCGACTCGCTGCGCAGCGGGAGTCCCTCGCGGCCGGCGGCGCCCGACACCGCCGGGCGAATACCTTGCACTTAACGTAATCCTGCGCAGCACGCCACCTCGAAGTGCTCAAAAGTAGGCGAGAAATATTCCTGCCGCTGGAGATCTCTGGCGGGTCTGGCCAGGGCCACTCAACCTGTCGGAGGCGCACGTGCAGTTCTGCATGCAAAATGACAAGACTGACCCCTAAAAGGGCTGTTTTGTTATGTCAGTTAATGACCCACTAATTAAGCTTGTAGCAGCAGCAATCTTTCACTTTGCTGTGGGAAACGTGCCCCTTTGCTCCTACAGAGAAGAAGCAAAGCCTGCTCTGCCTGGCTCTGCAGGTCGGACTCTCCGGATAGTATTTCCTGGAGTAAGTCGGGGTGAGCGGAGCTGGTGGAGAAGGAGTTTGTCTGTGACTGCTGCGGAAAGTGGCATTTCACAGGCAGCCAGCCTCTTAAATTGCTGCTTAAAGAAAACATGCTTTGGTTCCAGCAAGTCATTTCCTCTCAAAGAGAAACTGAAAACACTGCAATTTGGGGAATTGTTTGCTTCAGACGCTTGCCCAATTCCTCAGCCTGGTGAAGTCGGGGCAGAGCCGGCCGCGATGACAGTTTCCTATTAAAGGCAGCTGCGCGGACGGTGAGTCAGGACAAGTGGTTAACAGTGCCCGTAGCCCTCCGTTCGGCGTCAGAGATGTAAATCTCCTGCAGCGGCGTCGCTGCTCGTTGCAGGAGGAAACGCGTTCGAGACCGCCGTGTGTTTTCCCATCCACCGCTCCGGCTGGAGACCGGTGATGACTTGAGAGTTGCTTCGTGTGTCTTCCCCTTCCCATCGGTTTGCTTCCAGCAGTAAATAAAGACCCCGTTTATGGCTCCCAGCTTAACCATGTGTTGACCTCCGCCTTACCCGCTTCGCTCTGCGGTTGCGTTAAAGCACGGGTTTGGCCAGCCGGTTTTTGGAAGCGTGCTCGTGGTGTGCTGCTGTTCTCTGGTGCTGCTTAGGTTTGTTGGTAGCTGCTGGGAGCGCAGCCGTCCCGGCAAGCCCGATCGCTTGCCGAATTGGTGATAGAAAGGAGCTTAAGAGGTTAAGCCTCGTCCGAGGCGTAACCGCGTGCCGGGGAGACGAGGAGCTCAGCCCCGCCATCGGCTCTTGGGTGGCTGGTTCCAGCGATGGCCCCGGCACCCTCTGCTGCGGGCAACGTGCTCCAGAGCCCTTAGCAGGGATTTCGCTCCGAGGTCGCGCACCCAAAGCGCTGCTCGCAGGAGGACCAGTGCGTTTGTCGTATGTGCGGGCTGAGCCCGAGAGAGCGGACAACAACTTGCACGACAAGTTAGTGACGCTTTGCTGGAGTACGCGCAACTGAGGATCTAGCGCTCGTCAGTGAAATGCTCCTAGATAGGAGATGATTTATCCTGCGTTGTTGCTAATGCCTGAGAAACTTCAGAAAAGTGCGTCTGCTCGTTTGCCCGCGCGCTGCTGCGTTTAGCAACGGTGTCGCTACCGCTGGCTCTTTGCACTAGCGCGCTGGCAGTGCTGCGGCCCGGGCACCTGGAGCTGAAGCAGAGCGTGGCCAGCAGGTGCGGGTGTCCCCCTTCGGGGGGTCCTGCGTCGCGTTTCAAGCTTCGTTTCAAGCGAGGGCTCGCGGGAGAGCTTGCCCCGGTGGGAAAGCCGGGTAGGGATGGCAGAGCGCCGGCGAACGGGGCCGCGGGATCGGGGGACGCTCGCCGGTCGGCGCGCTCTGCTGCCTTGTGCAAGGAGGATTAATCCAGATGGGAGGAGAAGTGTTTCTTGGCTGTTTAACAATAGGGGCGTGAGGCTCCTGGCGGAGTTTGCTAACTTCAGAGAGCTGTTAAAAGCTGGGGGTACGAGAGGCTGAGGCCGGCGTAGCTCGTGGCAAGTCAGCTGCCTGTTTGCAGCCTTTTAAAGGTGCAGCGCCTAATGGGGCACTTGGCTTCCTTCAAACCGTGATAAACTCATCCTGGGCGAGACAGAGCTAAGCTTGCTTTCCGCTACGCGCCTCTTGGGTCGCAGCGGCCACGCGCGACATCTTTACGTCTGCTCCCCGGCCTGTTTGTCCAGGTTGCGTCCGCAGCTGTAACGGAAGGCGGGCTTGGCTGCGGCGTGAGCGGCGCAAACTGCAGCCGGCGTGCGTTAGGGAACCACGAAACGCGCTGCACTGCCCTGTCTGGGATGCAGCACGAGCCCTTGGAGGGGGCCCGGGGATGCACGCCGAGCTGGCCCGCGTGCGTTCCCGCGCGGAGACGGACGGGCGCTGTGCCCGCGGAGGGTACGCGGGCTTAGCGCCCGCCCCGGGCCGTGCCTTTACGGGGAGCGTGTCCCTGAGCACCTCGGGGAGGAGCTGGAGCTGATGCATGCTCGAATACCCTGGCCGCCCCGGGAGCCTCCTGCTTTCCAGCCGCTCTTGACTGGGGCCTCCGGGAGGCTCGCAGGTGCAGAAACCTTGCGCAGCGCTTGGCAAACCCTTCTGCGCACTGACCAGCCTTAAAGACCGACTTTAAACGCATTCCTAGATAATTCAGGCTTTTCTGAGCTTCTGGGTCTATTTCCAGCGCTGCCCGTAGGTTACGGTACGCTCAGCAACAGGAAGCTTTGCTCGAGGCAGCCAAATTCCCCGTTTCTAATCTGAGCTCCTCAGCGCCGAGGGAAAGTGGCCTTGGAGTCTGCTGCTGGCTTTCTCCAAACACGGGCTCGGGCTTTAGCTTGCTGCAGGCCTGGGGCGTATTTTGCCGGTTTCCCTGCTCTGTTTTCACTTGCCTTATCGGGCCGGGCTGCAGGCTTCTCAGGGCAGCGCTTTCTGGCTGCGAGCACGCGCGCGGCAGCGCCGTGCGGATGGGTATTCCCTGCGACTGCAAGGCAAAGCAGTCCGCCTCACCTGGCGGGCAATTTTCCTGGGTGCTTGTCATAAGCACCCAGGAAGATTGCACAGCTGTGCAACTGCGTTTCCCGGCTGCGAGGCGGCGTGGCCGATGCCCGTCACGCTTGGGTTGTGAAACGCTGACCCCGGAGCAATGCATGAGCTGTAAAAGCTGTATGAAGGGGTGAGAAGGGGTGCAGCTGGCAGCTCCTTCCAGCAGGTTGCAGCCTGGCAGGGCGATGCCTTGTCGCTAGTGACCTTAGTGCTTAGATTTTCCCCCAAAGTTTTAAATTTAGCCTCGCTGAATTGCAGCGACTTAGCAAACGTAACTCCTGCGCTATGAGACTTGCTACGAATACAATAATTTGTTTGAATTAGCATCGCGTATTGCTTTACTAGTAGCTCGGTTTTATTGTGCCGGGTTAAAGTCCTGGGTTCAGTCTGCTCTCCTGGTATCGGAGTAGTTGCTGTGCAAGCACTCCTCCGTCTGAGGAGCTCAAACAGCTCGTGGGATCTAGTGCCCAAGCCCAAAACACTTGTAGTGGCTTAATCGTGCCTGAAAGCTTAGCTGTAGTATTGCCTCCTGGCTAATTGCTTATGTAAATCGATAAACTCGGAGGGACGTGTCCTCGGATGAAGGAGTGGAAGCGCATGCGAGCTCCTCGCTCTTTCCAAAGCCCTGTTGGGTCCCTGCCAAGGTGCAGGGCAGCGGCGCTGCTCTGCCCGGGAGTCCAAGGACGGCGCTGCTGCTGCGCGGGCCCGCTAGCGCTTAAAGAAACCCCGGCGCTGACTGGCGTTTTCGGGGCTCGGGCAGGCCTGCGTGCAGAGTTGCAGCGCGCCGGCCTCCCGCTGGGGGCCTGCCGGAGCCGGGCGCCCCGCCCCCTGAGCCAGCCAGGGCTGCAACGCGCGGTTGCACAAGCCCGCCTTGTGGTGCGTGTGCTTCAAGGCAGATATTGTCCGCGCCCAGAGGTGTTACGTGGCCAAGGTGAAGTACCGGTGTGGTCTCTCCTCTGAGTGCTCCTAGGGTGGGTCCAGCCTCCTGCCGTCCGCGCTCCGGTAAAGAAGCCACGGTGCTGGCTGCGATGCTTGGATTGCAACTAAAGCAAAAGACGTTAACTCGTCAGTGCTGACGTTGCACCTCGCAGGCTGTGCTGGCTGCGCCCTTATCTTCTCGCCTTTATCTGCTGTGCTTGTGAACTGACCTAACCTCAAGTGGAGTAACTAGTGGTGATATGCTATAAAATCATTTGAAGGAAGCTCTAATCCAGTGATGGAGTAGAGTCCAAGCTAACCCAGGGCAAGACCTTCCTTTTATAAAACCTAAATGACCTTTTCTTTAATTGTATTTCTCAAGCTTCTCCTTAAAGGAATTTAACAGGATGGAGTCTAGTGTGGGATGGAGTCTAGTGTGGGTTGCCAAACGCTGATGTCCTGTGGCTACATGCTTTCCAGGGTCCTTCTGCGTTTAAAGGCATGAGGCTACCACCAAAGGGCCCGTCACTCCGGCAGTATCTCCTCAGACCGGTTTTGGTGCGATAGGAAGTAACACGGGCTTGTCACAGACCGGATGGCTTTTGCCCGTCGTACTCTCCGCAGAGGGTTTTTGCAGGTACCCCGTTTTCTTAGCTTGCACTTCTAGGAAACTCGTTTCTCAACCAAGCGGCCCAACTCCCGCAAGCCAAGTATCAAAAGCAACTGAGCAATCGCAGTGGAAACAAGCTGAGGCAGAGAGACTGGAGCGTTGTAAGCAAGAGCTAATTAAACACCTAACTCTTTCTTCACCCAGTCTTTTGAACAACTTTGCTTAATTCCCTGTACTTTCCGCACATAAACAAGCGCAGAGGTTATACTTCCCTGTGTGCTGAGCGCTTGTCTGAGCGGACTTGTCGTGTTCTGGTGCCGCAACGGAAGTGCAGACTTAATCCTGTTGGTCTGGCCGGCAAAGGCATGAAGAAACAGTGCAGCGGCCCTGGGCTGGCGCTCGGGCAGGAGCGTTCCCGGCCGCGGCTGCAGCGGGGC